CGCTGCAAATCCACCCAGATAACCCTTGCTGTACCAGCCGTACGCACGCTGTTGCGTACTTCCTTCGTCATGGCCGTTTTCAGCCATCCCTTCACGGTGGCGTCGCACCTATCCCAGGCATCTTGCCGAACAGCTGAGCCGGCCTTGGTGCGGGGAAGAGAACCATCCACAAAGGCCAATTTATTTTTGGCGATTAGGGTTTCTGTGATGTCATTCACCCATTCACCATAGTTCGAATCATTAAGCAAATCACCACCAAAGAGTTGTGCGGGATTCTCGGAAGGATGCAAATAGAGGGGAGAGCTGATCGGAATCACATCGTCTAACATGACGACTGTCTTGCCGCCGCTACTGTCCTCGTCCTTCGTGCCCATGATGAATATGAAAGATCAACCTGTAATGACCTTCAGCTCTGATACCATGAAAAGTTTGATAATGCGGAAATAATAAGAACACGATGATTTACGTGGTATCCCCGATGATCGGGACTAGTCCACGGAGAGCATAGCTCTCAGTATGAGTTTCACTAGGTTTACTGGTTGAAGAACAGAAAGCTGCCGCTCAACCTCTTAGGGTTAGAGTTCGGCCAAGGCTTAGCTTAAATACCCTTCTACGTGAACATGGGTATTAAGCAAAAGTCTCAAAAAGAACATGCAACAAATAATATGTACAAAGAGGTCCAGTCCACGTCATTATGAACCAATCCAACCAAGTTAACATTACAGAGTCAAATCCCCATCCGTAATGGAACAAGAATCCCATACATGCAAACCCAAATCAATGGTGCGGAGAAATTGGGTAATCCATTTTGTCTAAAATTGGGGATTAATCAGTAGTGAATTCAATTACCTTGCGACTCCCCTGAAAGCAGAGCTTCTTCTCCCTGGGGGATGGGGAAGCAGGGGAAGGCTGCTTCCTCCTCCAGTACCAATGCTCTTCTCCTTGGCGGGAGGAGGGACCGGCGGCGATGTTGGTGTCGAAGTAGTCTGGCGGTGGCGTGACTTTGAGATAGCGGCAGAGAATCGACGACTAAACAGCCCGCCGGGAGAGTGGAGGCCACGACGACTACACAACCCAATCTCTCTCAAACCTTGAGCAGCTGCTGCGATCAAAAGAAGGGAAGCGTTGAGCATGAGTGAGAGAGACATGGAAGGCGAAAAGGGCATTTATTTTTAATTTTTTAATTTTTTTAAATTGATGTCATTAAGTTGACGGTCCAGTCAGTACTTCCGTTTGCCACGTCATCAAAAAACTAACGGAGTTAACGGAGACTAACGGCCGGTGACTAACGGTGAAACGAATCGTAAAGTTAGTGGCGAAGTAGAAAGAAAAGTAATTTCGGTGGCAAACGTGAAAGATTTATGTAATTTGAGTGACCAAACGTGTAATTTAGCCTGTTGATATATAATGCTATACTAGGGTATTTATGATATTCTCATTTATTAGACGATTGTTCATTAATAATTTTTTAACGGTTTAATACCAATTAAACTAATAAAGTATGAACGATTCACTACTCGAGTTTCTCTCTAACAACATTGATTAGCACTCTAACCACTACTTTAATTCAACTTAGGTCACTCAATTCACCAAACAAGGGTCAGCAATCCAGCTTTGTAGTGCAAAAACTTGAATTCAGGAAATTCATACAAAATTAGTGAATTTCTATTTGTTGAAGTGCAATTTTTGGTAGAAACTTTGTGAACTTATTTCACATAAACATAGGAGAAGAGAAATTGTCGATGGTGATGGGAATCGATTTGATGAAGGAGATGGATATCATTGGCTGGTTGACGGAAGAAGCCAAAAAGATGTCAAAGTCTCTGCATTGAAAGAGAATATATTTTTGTCAAAAAAAAAAGAAGAGAATATATCAATTGGGGAGATTTTGTACTTCGCGAGCGATGATTTCTTGTTGGCGCATGATACTGCAGTTCGGATCAACGATTTCAAACATTGCATGTGGAGAGTCAGGTGACCTTAGATCAAATCGGACCGCACAGTTTGGTTCGGACAGTAGACCGTGAAGAATGATCTCGTCTGATTCATGGTCTATATTATATGAAGTTTTGATTTCTTGGTCTGATCTGGTCTAGACCGTGGTTTACCATACCAAACCGTGGATCTAGCCGACTTCCCAATTCATGTTAGTAACCCACTCGAGCACTCACCCAACTCCCCCAATAAGACTCAAGTCTCAACCTTAATTTTGAGAATCTCGTCCCCTACTTCATTCACAACCACATATCACTAGAGAGTAGAGACGATCGTATCTTCATATGACATTATGTTAATGTTTCTGACGTTATGGTGCGAGTTGGGATTCTTTGACTTTGTATCTTTGTTATTTACTAAGATTTAGGGTGTCAAAATTATTCATGTATGTTGGATTTTATGTATTAAGGCAAAAAAAAAAAACAATTGTTTTTCTCAGTTATTGGCTCAATTTTTAGTGTGGTTGACATAACAAAGTGTTCATTTTTCGTTCGATGGGGTCTATCTAGACCAGACCGTACCGGACCAGAATGCACATGCGTAATCTAGTCTAAACCATATAATATGTGGTCTGGTCTCTGATCTATACTTTAATCTCTTAGTCTGGACCGTAGACCGTCTATATGATCTGGTCTGTACCAGACCACACCATTTCTCAGCCCTAAACAACTTGTTTAGGATTTTGATAGCAAGTTTGGGCTCAATTGATAGTTGGGCCATAATAAAACTTATTTTTTATCGTCTAGTTTCTATCGGTTATGCTTAATTGGTTGGGCTTGTATTGTGGATAACAAATATACAAGTTTTAGAATTTTTGTCCTGTCTATTTAATGTTGTTTCACTTATTAGATTTAGGTAATTAAGACATTGGTCATTAAACTGTGATGCTTCTTGTTAACATAGGATGTATCCACATAACTTTTGAATTTATTTGGTTTTTCTTAGAGTAATTTGTCAACATCTAGTATTATTTTAAATAATATTTTAATTAAAATAATATAATATTAACACTTTCTCGACACTGTGAAGTTATAATTCTTTATGAATAAACGCTCTCTCGTCCTCGTTCTCGCTCTCACTCCACGAATCAGTAAACACAATTCAAACCACTATGTTAAAATAGAAGAACCCGTAATTACTTTGTCAAGTGACAACTGACTAATGTCTCATTTAATCACACAATGTTGCCCCAATCAACGGCTGAAATCAATCGGCCAACCAAACCACCCATATATTCATTCGCTGACCAGGTGTGTCCAATAGAGAGGAATTTCTTTGGGCTATGACTACGAAATAGGAATATAATAATATTTGACGCAGTGGCGGATGCAGGTGGGCCAACATAAGTCCGGGCTCAGCCCTCCTCCAGATCCAGAGTTAGTTTAGTGCTTATAAAATTTTTTGATTTAGGTATTTGGCCCAGTATTATTTAAAATTCTGTCTAGTTTTATTTGATAATAGGATTTTGTGTAACTAGTAAAATGGTCCAGATGAACATATCCAAACCATTACTCTAAATTTATACTAAATTTTCTATAGCCCCAATGATTTTATTTGAAAAATGACATGAAAACCTAAAAGTGTAAAGTTTCATTAAAATAAAATAAAAAACTCTAAACTAAAGCACACCCTTCCTTGCAAAATTCAAAAAAAATTCCAATCCCCCCAAAACAAAACAAGAACGAGGAGACGAGCAGACCCAAAATGAATTTCTCTGCCAGCCCGTAGAGCTGGTTTTCTTTCCATTCTTTTGATAAAGAAAATATTTACAAACTTGCTGAGTCATCATTTAGATTGCCTCAATTGAGTGGGGCACTAGATTCTAACCGTTCTTTCTGGTGTTTTGATGAAGAAAATATTTACAAACTTGCTCAAGAGTTTAGCCTCGAGACTTTGAAGACTATGAGATGCATTCTTTGGAGAATGCACTACTCATGTGAGGAAGTTGAAGTTTCTTCTCTTGCAAAATTATTAGAGAAGCTGGAGGAAACAGGGATGGACACATAATACAAATTGATTTGTCTAGTGTTGACCTAGCCATTTCAACAACTACCATGAAGAGAATATTTTCAGCAATGGAACATGAACATTGATTTGTGCAACAAAATGAGCGATAAATTTCTCGTTGATTACTTAGCTATTTTCTTTGAAAAAGAGTATATTATCAGCATGGATGGAGATTATATTATTGATGAATTTGCTAAATTAAAAGACGTTCTTGTACAATTGGCGTTGTAATGAAAACTATATTATTATATATTTTTGTTTATGGTATTTAATATTCTATTCAAATACGGCCCAGTGCTCTCTTATGTCCTGGGTCCGCCGCTGATTTGATGTCTGTGTTAAAGAACTTTAAAATTAGGGTAAATACAATTTAATATCCAAACCTTTCATTTTAAACAATATAATAGCCAAACCTTTTCGAAAACAATTTAATATCCAAATCGTCAATTTATGTCTGTTTGACCGTTAGTTGACACTTCAAAAAAGTTCGAAGTACGACACTTCATCAATATCCATCGATATCTTCTTTGAAAAATCACCAACATATCGTAGTTCCAAACCCGAGAAGTCCATGACTCCACCATGATGGTATAGAATATCTAAATATTCAGTCATCTGCAATGCCAAAACAATAAAACAAAGTTGCATTGTGACAATTTCCCCTAAACAAAGCTTTCTTGAAGTGTCAACTAACGGTCAAACGAACGGAAAGTTGACGATTTGGATATTAGATTGTTTTCGAAAAGGTTTGGCTATTATATTGTTTAAAATAAAAGGTTTGGATATTAAATTGTATTTACTCTTAAAATTACGTGGAAAACCCCCCACAATTCAAGGCTGAGCCGGAAACAGCAGCGTTGGCCTCTTGGCGTCAGCATGGCTGACATCAGCTCCGGTGACAACGAGTTGCTTTTCGTCTTCTTCTGATCACGTTCACGCTATTCTAATATAAGCAAGAAGGAACATGGAAGCCTGCAGAAACACTAAAAACAGTTAACCCTCGTCTCTTTCCTGGAAATCACTCACCAACCCCACTGGCAGGCTACTCCCACGAATCCTCTCTGTACGAAATGTCAGCTCTGATTCTGAACACCAACTATAAAGGAAGCTCTGTTTTTCTGAGCATCCATTTTCATTTCTCCACATCTCATCCTTCCACCCGTAGCAGCAATGGAGCTCTTGAGCAACGTAGGCTCAGCAATGGCCGCCCTAATGTTCGGTTGGGCAATGTTCCAGCAGTACCTCCCTTACAACCTCCGCGGATCCCTCGACCGCTACATCCTCAAGCTAACCGCCATCTTCTACCCTTACATCCAAATCACCTTCCCGGAGTTCACCGCCGACCGCCTCAAACGGAGCGAAGCCTACGTCACCATCCAGAACTACCTCACCGCCCATTCCTCTGCCTCCGCGAAGCGCCTGAAAGCCGACGTCGTCAAAGACAGCACCCAGTCCGTCCTCCTCTCGATGGACGATCACGAGGAAGTCGTCGACGTCTTTGACGGCGTTAAGGTTTGGTGGTCCTCCGGCATGACCATAAGCAAATCGCAGTCGCTGTCACTGTACCCTGCCGCCGACAAGCGATACTTCACGCTCACAGTCCACAGGCGCCACCGCGAAGCCGTCACCAGCGATTACATAGCTCACGTGCTGAAGGAAGGGAAGGCGATTGCGTCCAGGAAAAGGCAGAGGAAGCTCTACACCAACAATCCCAGCAAGGATTGGTCTGGGTGGAAAGCTACCAAGTGGAGCCATATCGTCTTTGAACACCCCGCCTGCTTTGATACTCTGGCTATGGCGGAGCAGGCCAAGGAAGGGATTAAGAAGGATCTCATCAAGTTCAGTCAGGGGAAACACTACTACAACAAGATCGGCAAAGCTTGGAAGCGTGGGTGAGTTTTTCGTTTTTAGTTTGAATTTTTTTTTTTTTCTAGGGTTTCCCCCAATTCAGATTCAGAGCGGCTCTGTTTTTCCAGGTACCTCCTCTACGGACCCCCAGGAACGGGGAAGTCCACCATGATTGCCGCCATGGCCAATTTCTTGAACTACGACATATACGATCTGGAGCTGACGACGGTCAAGGACAACTCCGAGCTAAGGAAGCTGTTGATTGAGACGACGAGCAAGTCGATAATCGTGATCGAAGACATCGACTGTTCGCTTGACCTCACCGGCCAGCGTAAGGGCAAGAAGAAAGCGGGAAAGAGCGGGGAGGGGGATGGAGATGAAGCAGAGAACGAGAAAGAACCTCTGGCCAAAGCTAAAAAGGACGCGGAGAATGCGGAGGGGAAGAGCGACGACAGCAAGGTCACGTTATCGGGTCTACTGAACTTCATCGACGGGATATGGTCCGCCTGTGCAGGGGAGAGAATCATCGTGTTCACAACGAACTACGTCGACAAGCTGGATCCGGCATTGATTAGGAGAGGGAGGATGGACAAGCATATAGAGATGTCTTACTGTTCTTTCGAGGCGTTCAAGCTGCTGGCGAGGAACTACTTGGATATTGAGGCACATGAGTTGTTTGCAGACATTGAGGTTCTCCTGGGGGAGACGAAGATGACTCCTGCTGATGTTGCAGAGAATTTGATGCCAAAATCGGACGATGAAGATGCAACAGATGCGTGTTTGAAGGAATTGGTTGAAGCACTACAAGCTGCCAAGGAGAAGGATGCAAGGCCGAAGGTGGAAGAAGAAGAAGAAGCGATGGTGAACAAGGCTGATGCAGCACCAGAAGTGAAGTAGAATGGTAGCATATCTTGTGGGTTTATATTTACATCTGTCAGAATTGCCACCTGTACATACATGAAACAAAAGACAGCAAAAGTGGATGACTTTTAACATAATGCCGTCCAACTAGTTTATCTTGCTACCATTCATCTTACAAGAGTCAGTTATGTTCTCCCTTACAGTCCCAGGTTCTCCTTGAAAAGCTTCCAGCTAGCATTGGACTGAGCTAGTCTTTCCTTAGCTCTCAGCCTGTTCTCACTAGCTTGCTTTCGCTCCAACTGTTTCCCCTTCAGTTCACCTAGTTCCTTGGAAGCCTCTCTGTTGGCCACCTCCATTTCACCTACTGTCAAATTCTTCTCATTAACTAACTTTTCTCTGAGAGCCCCCAACAGTTGGATTTCCGCCTCTACCTTCATCTCCTCCTCCTCTATCCTCGAAACTTCTGACTCAAGGAACTTTAGTTGTTTCTGCCTCTGAACTAGCTTTCCCTCCAGCTCCTTTGTTGCCTGCACAGTGGACTTTTCAACATCGCTAGAGGTTTCAATAATGGACAGAGACCTCGGGATGCTGTCTCTAAACTCTACAAGGCGTGATACTAAGTCCTTAAGCACCATCTTCTTGATCGGATCAGAATTGTGCTCAGCAAATTTCAGGACAACTTGCTGAACTTGGTCAAAGGAATTGGCCTCACTGATAGCCTCGAGTGACATTCCGAAGAACTCGTTCAGTTTTTCTAGTTGTTGCTGGACTAAACCTGACACAGTGTGTTCTGCATTTGAACCCGGGATTCCATTAACTGAAGATGTCAATTCCCCACTACTTGTCATAGTTGAAAGTTCTGCTATCAGGTTCTTTGAAGTTAACTTCACAATTGATGAGCATGGACTTGTGATGGTGCTGGTTCGAGCAACCTGAAGGGAAAGCCATGAGAAGTGGTTTGCTGGTTGGACACAATTGGAAAGACGTTTTAGGGAGTTTCACTGTCACTTACCTTGTTTCTGGATAATGGTGGCGTAGATGGAACACCTTTAGATTCATTTTCCGATTCAGGCTCAGCGACTTCTGGACCACCTGCAGATTTTGGTACCTCTGCTTCCTGCAAAAGGGGAGGAGACACATTAGTCAACACAAGGTGGGTTTAGGGTCGCTAGAATGAATCTCGTCATAAGATTTAACCATGGTGACTCGAGCTTTGATCACTAGGGTATCATCCACAAGGAATCCTTTACGACGACTGTGAAGCTCATCGAGGCGAATAAAAGATGTGAATCCCCAATCCTCCTCTTGTTCCTTGAAAACATGTTTGGAACCTGCAGAACGAAGGACACCTTCCCAAAGTTAAACTAATAGGCCTCAAGCAATATCAAAGGACTGATTCCAGCAAATACATTACAAAGCGAAATGGGAAAAGGGATGAACAAAGCTTACTCTAACTACAATGGGAATTCAAATTTGCATGTACCACATCTGTAAACTTTCCAAGATATCTCCAAAAATACAAACAACGCATCCCTTTAATCCAAACTGAAACTGGATTCGACAAGACTGGAACCAGCATTCATAAATATAACGATCTTCGATCAAATCCACTCATGGTACTAGGAAAGCGAAGGTATTGAAACAAGAAGTCAAGAAGTGAGTGCAAGGGGGAAACTTACAGAACTTTCTGGAGAGGCGGCCATTGACTTGGTTGACAATAGTAATGCTGAACTCCACGTACTTACTCCATCCAGCAGGCATCGTTTCCCAGTCAGCAAAATCCAGATACAGGGAAAGGAAGTCAACTTCATTTCCTTTTGGAAAGCAGAGCACTCTCCTGCCCAACCAAACAGCAGTGAACTTACTGATCATCACATCTCTATTCACAGTGTCGCCATTATAAAAAAACATCTCTATTCACAGTGAGGGTTAGGTTACATGGGGCGGGGGAATTTTCAACCGGGTAATCATAAAAAAAGTACCATCTGTAACCGCCGGCGACAAATGCATCGGAATAGATCTCCTCTTCCAGCTTCGAGAAATTTGCGATTCGCCATGTGAAGTCCTTAGAATCCAGCATTGGATCGCCCGCCTGATTTCTCTTTTTCAATGCCCGCAGTATCCTCTATAGATTCGCCACAAGAGGAGAAATAAAAGGATCGAAATCGAGATTAAGCGAAAGAAGAGCTCTAATCTACTGCATTGCGGCCGGGAAATAGAACTGTAAAACCCAGAGATAGAGGATGAATTGCGCTTCTGAACCTTACCAGGGAAGGTTAAGAGTTAAGACGGATGAGAGTGGCTGAGCTTGAATTGATAAGAGAGCGAGCTGGGATTTCATCAATGGCGGCGAGGGCAAACGCAATCGGGGTCTCTTGCATGGAAGATGAAGGGAAATGAACTGAGCGTGCAATCGCTATGTAGTTCTGTGGTTCCTGCTACAGTGCTCTCAACAAAATTTCCTCACACCTAAGGCCTTGTTTGGCAGCCCAATTTTCTTGGAAAAAATCCCAGAATACACCAATTATTAAAAAAAATTACCAAAATACAGTACGTATAAAAGTAATTTCCAAAGTACAGCAGTTTCAACATCACTGTCTTTGTCTAAGACAGTGATGTTGATCACCGTTTTGGTCTAAAACGATGATACATCACCGCTTTTGACAAAAGCAGTGATGCTATCACCGCTTTAGACCAAAGCAGTGATGCCATCACCGCTTTCAAGGACGACATTGATGGCATGACCGTTGATGAGGGAAGCAGTGAGGCCTTCACCGTTGGATCCAAAAGGGGTGAAGTGGCGCGGATAGCTGACGTGGACGCGCGCGGGCACTTAACCGCTGAAGACGAAAGCGGTGATAGCCCCGCTTTCCACGTCAGCGATCCGCCCCACCCCGCGCCTTCACCACTGCCGTCCGATGCAGTCATGCGCGGATTGTGGTTTTTCTCCACAATCCGACGCATCAGAAGCCGCCACGTCACCTATCCGTGCCATCACCGCCTTTGTTGGACGCAGTGATGGCACTGTGTTTGTTTGGGGCGGTGATAACTGGCCAGGACTTTTCCCAGCCCCAAACACTATAAATACCCATCTCCCCCCCCCCCCCCCCCTCATTCCAAACCACACCACCACTTTATACTTCTTTCTCCCTCCATTTTTCACTCTAGTTTCGTTCTAAGTATGCTCTGTGGTTGCGGCTAAGTCCGATCTTCCGCATCAGAAAGAATTACTAGAGTTTTTGTTTTGTTGTTTTGTCGATACTCTCGCTAGCTTTTCGGCAAAAAATGGACGAAGAGGCTTTGAGAGTACGTAAATTTATTTAATTCTTTTGTGATTTTTTTTTACATGGGTGCTAAAATTTAATTTGATTTGATTTCATATTTTTTTATAGATGGGTGCTGAGATATACGACCCTAAATTGTATATCGATCCTGGCCCAAGGGATCGAAGGTATTTAACCGGGCAAGATCAACATCGCTCTCGTTCAATTTGGAACAATAATCCGGTAGACACACTAAAATTATTTCAATAGTTTTAAAGTTTTTATTTGGGCTAATACCAATAGGAAACCCCAAGTATTAACTTTGTGCCATTTGTATCCTAAAGTATTTGATACGACAATTGTGTCCCAAAGTATTTTTCCGTTATGGTTGACTACCGTTGACCGTTAATTTTGAATTAATTGCCAGGTCATCGCTGATGTGTCGTCTAGGTGGATTTTTTTATTTACAAACTCGAGCCCGTGTTTACACGTCATATTTAAAAAAAAAAGGTTAAATGAAATCGGGGTTTCACCCGAACCCGATTCACTTTTACCCCTCCCCTCCCTCGACTTCCCCCAAAGAAACTCAAGAACCCTAACCTTTCTCCCGATTCTCCGATTCTCTTCCCCGACGAACAGAGGGGAGTCGATTCGCCAGCTCCTCAGTCTGTCAACATCTCAAACATCGGGCGCGGCGCAGGGACGAACATCCTCGACTGCAACTTCGAAACCTTCGGGCGCGGCGGGCAGGGAGGAACGAAGGGGCCTGCGCGATTTCTTCTGCAATCATCGTCGCCGACCTTGCGCGAGTGGTTGTATCATCTTCTTGTGAGGAGTAGATGATGCCTCTACTATCAGAGGTATCGGGCTGTATGGAATTTTGTTTCGCCCAAAATTTCTAGGGTTTTGGAGCGAAGGGGCCTGTCCGTTTTTCTGGAGTTGTGGAGCTATTTGAAGGTCAATTAAGTAGGTGGGAAGCGGAAGGAAGGTGGTAATCGCACAAGAAAGTAAATGTGGTGGGTACGAAGTGGCTTTGCTCTGTAAGATTCGCTGGAAGTAGAAGGGGAAAGCAGGGACCACGACGAAGCTGTGAAGACGAGATTACCCCCTTTGCGAGTTGAGCAACAGGTACGAATTCAATTCCAAAAGCACCTTCTGGTCATTTCCATCCATGTATAGTGATTTGGTTGTATTGGAGTTGTAATATTCAATTCATAAAGGTCACGGGTTTGTGGATTGCTAGATTGCAAAGTTGTCTTTTAGCAACTTTCGGGAATGCTTTTAATGGTAGAAAATTATTGACCCTAGTATGTGATTGGATTAATATAATCGAGGATTTGTAATAGTAACCATGTTATGTAACGTGCAGGATGACTACGTACTTGGAATTGATAGTCCACCATGGTGGGAAAATGGACTATTCTGAGGAGGTTCCTCGCTACCTAAATGGCAAGATTGAAGAAGTTGACATGGACCTAGACTACATCTCCTACTTCCAGTTACAACAGCTTGGTGTTGTCCACTTTGAATACGCTAGGGTCGAGCGCTTGTGGTATATGGCTCCATCGCATAATTTGGGAAATGGTTTGGTTGAAATAAGGTCCGACACCGAGGTAATGGATGGACTGATTCATGCAGTTGAAAATGAAAAAATTGTCATCTTTATGGAAGGTATAGAAACTCAAGTTGGAGATAATGAAGAGGCTGGTGGAGGGAACAGTGATGACTATGATACAGAAGGTGATGAGGAGTCACAGAATCGAGACATCATCCATCTTATGGATGATGAGGTGCGCACTTCTGATGATGAGTTCGTCGATGCTTTGGAGAATCAAGGGATTAGAGCAAGACGGATGAGAGTTCGAACCATTAAAGATGCAACTGGTGAAGCTGTGGAGCAGGAATCTGTAACTGATTATGAGCAGACCGAACAAGATGTTCCCTCCAATGCTATGGGATCTGAAGATGAAGAAGCTGAAGATGAAGAAGCTGAAGATGAAGAAGCTGAAGCTATCCCACATGTACAGTCAGAACAAGGGGGAAACCAAACTCAACCCGAAGCTGAAGATATGGCACATGAAAGGGCAGAACAAGTGGGAAACCAAACTCTACCCGAATCAGAATATAGAGGTTCAGTTGACTCACGACATGTTCGTGGGAATCTAGACGAAGAGCCAGCTGATCCTATTTATGACGGTCCCCACTATGACCCCAGATGTGAACATTCTACACTAAAGTTCACGGTGGGAATGAGCTTCAATTCCCCGGAGCAGTTCAAAGTGGCAGTGGAGGAGCATTCCATCTCAATTGGAGCCGATATCAAGTGGAAGGGGTGCGACTGGTGGAAGGGGTGCTACTGGTGGAAGGGGTGCTACTGGTGGAAGGGGTGCGACTGGTGGAAGGGGTGCTACTGGTGGAAGGGGATTGACTGGTGGAAGGGGTGCTACTGGTGGAAGGGGTGCTACTGGTGGAAGGGGTGCGACTGTTCGAAGGAGGCAGGAGAGGGATGGAGGGGCTGCTGCAAATGAGGAAGGTCAACCCTCGGCAGTGAAAAGGAGACCAGGGTTATGTTCAAAGTGTAAGGGGGCTGACCACAATGCCAGAACATGCCCTCTAGTTGGCGGAATTCAGGTAAGAGGACCATTGCCATTGGCTTTCATGATAGAATGGAATGTTGAGATAACACGTAAATGAACTTATAAAGTGGTGGTTGAATGGTCTTTTCTTTGTTAATGGTAGGAAGCACACATCAATCGTGCTGTCACTAGTAGACGTGCTCAAGACAGAGAAGTTAGGATGGTAAGTTATTCGTTTCATTGTACTCGACAACTTTGACATGTTAGCGGTATAGTAACTCACTTCAATTATTTGCAGGCCAACCAAGGAATTGGTGTGTTGCACACTGATTTAGGAAACACATATGTGATACTAAATGGTCCAGATAGACCAGGAAGGGTGTTGAGAAGTGGCAGTCCATATGGCAACCTTGGTACCGGGTCAACGCCTACGGTGATTGCTGAAGGAGGATCACAACCACCACCGACACAGCCGAGCCAGCAGCAGTAGGAAAGTGGTTGTAAATGGGTAGTATTAGGGGATGTAGGGTTAACGTAGTAGATTATGGATATTATGGATGGTCATGTTTATTTTGCGCAAATATGGTTGCGTTATATCCGGAGGAAATCATGTAAGATTCCCAAACAATGGATTAATTTTGGAAATCTAGACAATGGCAGTGGCAGCCTTTGTAACTGACCAACACAATTATGTATGTGTATGGTTCAGACTATGATATTGATCATCTTCTGTTGAACAATTCAGGATGTTTGAATGGTATGTTTATAAGATGATGCTATCGTTGTTTGCTTACTGTCATACAAGGGAATTCCTCAAAGTCAGATTCAATAACATACAGAAACAGGATTGTTTGCTTACAGAATACATGTGCATTTGCAGACTTCATTTCAGTCCTGCAATGGCAATGCCTACAAGCAGTCCAACGAAAAGGAACAACACAAACAAGAATCGAGCATTGGCCAACTTCAGTTCCCCTACCAGCCTAGTGTTTTCCTCCCTAATGCTAACTAAATCATCAAACAAACATTTTTTAGCCTGCTTCCTTCGCTCAGCTTTCTCTTCAGCAAGTTTCAAGCTTTCCTTCAAGCTCGTAACATGAATCTCCATCGAAGCATACTTCGTCCTAATGTCTTCATCATCTGCCACAATCACATTGGAGCTAGGGGTTTCCTCTTCATCATTACCCTGATCCACCCAACGCCAGAATAGACAATTTTTTGAAGGCTCCTGACAAATAAATCAAGATGTAGTGAGCTGTTGTTTGCGAATAAAATCCCCCAACTAAACAAATAATGCATAAATTACCTTCCAATATGGGCAACAGTAGAATCCCCTCTCCGGATTGAGTTCTGTCCCTGAAACATAAGACTTTGCTGGTATATTATGCCCACACTTCACGATTCGAGAGTTGGAAGAATTGGAGTCACAAGTGCTTTGGCCGAATCTCCTTCCCGACATGTTTTAATTGCTGCCACAAAACCCATTCATTATGGAGAATGAGAACCCAACATCAAACCCTAAAACAACCCAACAACAGCTTCTCACCTGGTTTCCTCGACAAACTAATTCCGAAGCACGCCGTCGCACCACTATCCTCGCCGCAATGAATACCAAATCACCACGAACCGGCGCCGCTCCGCGTTACTGAAACCCAGCGTCGTCGCCACTCCGACGCGAGGGAGCTATCGCAGTCTCTCCTCTGCCCTCTGCTCGCGACGACCCTCTGCCCTCTGCTCGCGACACCCTCTGCTCGCGACGACCCTCTCGCAAAGAAGAAGTTTGGAAATAGAGGAGCTACAAAGAAGATGAAGAGGGTTAAAATAAAGGGTTTTTTAATTTTAAATCATATTTTTTTTAATTTAAATCAGAATGGTAAATTTTTTTTTACTAATCTGACGTGTTTGCCTATGTGTCGTCTACGTGGCCAACAGGATTGTGCCACGCAAGCTTCGGAAGCTGACCTAACGGCCGTCTGTCTGGTCAACCGTTACTTTTAACGGTCAACGAAAGTGTCAGGATACAAATGACACAAAACTACCATACTTTGGGACACAATTGTCGTATCAAATACTTTAGGATACAAATGGCACAAAGTTAATACTTGGGGTTTCCTATTGGTATTAGCCCTTTTTATTTTGCTTTCTAAGTTTTTATTTTGCTTTCTATTGACTGACAATATTGTGTTTTTTGTTTTGTAGGAATCACTTATTCCCATCAGTCATCGAGGGACATGTCGATTGCCCCGTTGGCATCCTCGACTGCATCCCTATCTAGAGAGGGCGGGATTGCACAATTTGAGGCACTTTATGAGGCTTGATATTGACAACGATCTGCTGACGGCAATGGCAGAGCGATGGCGCCCTGAGCTGCATACCTTCCACTTTCCCGAGGGTGAAATGACGATCACCCTCAAAGATGTTGCCATCCTCACCGGGCTCCCGATCACCGGAGATGCCATCATCGACAACTCGAGAAAACCAGAAGATGGTTGGGGGCCATTGATTCAGGAACGTCTGGGGTTCAACATGCCGACCACCACGCCCGTCGAAGGGGTTGGGCATCCACCACTGAATGCGGGGCAAGTATCGATCCCGTGGCTTGTTGACCACATCCAATTGGAGGTTAATATAGGCCCGGATACTCCTGAAGATCAGGTGGAGCGGTATGCACGTGTATACCTAATTGCCTTGGTTGGTGGGTTTCTGTTCCCCGACAAGTCAAATAAGTGGATACAAGGCATGTGGTTCCCTATGCTCCTCGGTGACTGGGACGAGATCGGGAGAAAAAGTTGGGGGTCGGCCGTCTTGGCTGGAATCTACCGAGAGTTGTGTACTTGCTTGAGGTTGGGAGCGAAACAAGCTGGTGGTTACGGGTGACTGAGCAGAGCGAGATCGAACTAGGGAAAAATAAAGAAACAAAAAAAAATAGGGGAGGGGATAGATTTGGGCAGAGCTCGGGAGAGAAAGGAGAAGCAGATCGAGCCTTCTTCCTCTCATGAATGCAAATGAGGATTTGGAGTTGCTTGTTGGGGCAGATTTGGTTCGAGAGGCAAGTAGTTGGCGAATGGAATCCGACCTCCACTTCCTCCTCTGCTTCACCGATGGAGGTAAAATCTAGGACGAATAATTCCCACTCCTCATAGCGCCCTCCTCTACTTCCCAATCAGATCCAGCCGATGGCAGTGGATGAATCTCTACAGGTTGATCGAGTCAGAAGTAAGTGAGGGAGGAGGAGGAGCTTAAGGATAAGCATCTGACGGAGGATGCACGGGATTGGAAGTCGTTGGAGCTGGATATGCAGACGGCGGAGGGAAGCCATAAGGTGGAGAGTACAGAGAAGATGGAGATATGGAGAGTCGCACGGTGATTGGGAAATTTTTTGAGAGAGAGACAGGCGAATTGGTAGAGAAGAACTGAATATTTTTTTATTTTGGATTATTAATATTGTTGAGTTTACATTTTATTAATTTTCAATATTTTATTTAATTTTTAATTAAAAATATGATGTGGCATGTACGTGGTTGCCACGTTTTTGCTCGTCATCAAAAATCAATGTCAAGTTGACCACTGTCTAGTCAACCATTATCTAACAATTGAACCTATGACTAGCATCGATTAAACCAGGTTGCAACAGTCAACATTCAACCCGCACAACAACCACAACAATAACACTCATATCATGGTCCCGCCCATGCGAGAAAGTAACACCAAATGTCAATGTCAAGTAGGGATGGCAACGAGTCAAGGTTGGGGCGGGTACCCCTAAACTCGTTCGCTGCCCTACAATCTAAGTCATCGCCCCATGTCCCGTGATGCGTCGTTGTTTCTTACCCATGTTGTGCCCCGCGCGAAGCGGATTTTACCCGCCCTGCCGCCATTTTCAGTTCAACTTGAAATATCATCGTCACGCAACATATACCCACCTCCCCTCCATTTTTTTATCACTAACCTATAATTTTACAACATTATTCTTCATTCATCATATTGCAGCAGCCCGTATAACAAATTAGTCATAAGGAAACTTCAACTACTAAATAATATCTCAAACTCATAAAATG